GGGGGGGGGGGGGGTGATTGCGCGCGTTAATTGCAATGCAATTGTAACGAGCGTACACTGCGTCCGAGATGCCCAGACGCGAGTCAAGAGGGCCAATAAAAATTTAAGGTTATGCGTCCACCATACTAGGAGTCCTTCAGATTTCACTATTCTCGTCTCACTGATTTTGCCATCCGTCTATATTTTCGCTAAGTAGACTTAAGAAGTTATTTAATTCTATGCGAGCAAGAAACCCACTGAGCGACCTATCTGATCGTCTAGAAGATCGGAGATTCACAGCAATAGCGATTTATGCGTCCGCCTAATTTTGACCAAATTTCCTACGTGGGAGCACTGAGGGGCCGGACCCTCAGTAGTTGTGTGTGTAACCTCCCTAAGGCGGCGAAGCACATTTTTGGATTCCCATCCAATGTTCTGTTGCTATTATGATGAAGCAAATCTCCAGATATACCGTTTGTAGACCTGGAGATTTAGGAATTATGCAGTTAGTCAGCTAAAACTGCTTATGCTCGCGTAGATCCCCGTTTCGACTATCACTACAGTTTCGTTCAATATTTCCCGACGAAGTCATCATGGCACTTTCATAGCTGATCGGAAAACCATAACGTAGGGCTTTCTTACTAGTGCTGGGTGCAGAACTTCACAGAGGCTAGGACATAAACTTTGTCTCGTGAGTTACCAGGCCCACTGTTGTGATCGTCAAATTAAATAACGGAATTTGTGTGCCAAGGCAATACAGAAGTTCTGCCGGCGTAGTCTGTCGTGCTTCTTGCCGTACCGGGACCTCGAATTATCCGAGTTAGTGGGATGCTTAGGGGGCGGTGTTTGGCAGGGGTCGGTCTATTTATTCCTTGTGATGTCTTTTGCCTAGTCTGCGGTCAATTTTGGACTTGCTGATGTCCGTTTTCCGTACACGCATTTCTTTGGTAGGAAGCTGTCAGAATACTTATCTCTGTGGCGTATGTGGAGGGCGCTGTGAGAGAAGCTTGTGATCTTGGGGACATTTTTCCTAAAACAGCGTTAAGAACGTATCAAAAGGGGAAACGGGTAATTGTGCTCAAGTTGTAAAGCTGCCTACTCCAGAAGTCTATTTTGCCGCTGTTTATCTATGGTTGATGGATGAACTGAAGGTCGTGCATGCTTCCGTAAGACTAATGGGAACTCCGGGAAGCAGAATTGTCACTCAAGAAACTGACTTGTTTCTCGCGGCGGAATATATTCTAAGTAGGTACAAATGGTGAAGTGGCTGCAGATTTCTCACGGACAGTAAATTCCTTGTTTAGCTTGAGCCTATCTTAATGTGGTATCTCTGTAATTAAGATCTAAGTGACGCCTAAATCAGACTGTCCCCAACGAACATTCTATACAACTCTAGTCGACTGGGAGTTAGGGCGGAGTCGTCGTGCTCCCAATCTACTACAAGGCAGTTTACACTGGTCCCCTCAAAAGCAATTTAACAATATTCACGACCAAGTATGAGATACTGCAGTGCTTGGTGCCGACCTCTGATTCAACTGCATCGCAGGTCTATGTGTACTTCAAACGAAGTGCTTTTTAGGACATGGTACTTCAGACGTCGCAGACCAGGCTGCATCAGACCTGCTTTGAGCGTCGGGGTAAGGCAGTATTAGTAGTTCTCACGCTTGAGGGAACAGGTCGTCCACATAGCTTAGTAGTAAAGCAACTGGCACAAACTTCGACAGTCGATGGTTCGATTACTCTCGGCGACAAATTATGACGCTTGCTAGCTTTCCTGTTTCCTATAGTCAAGGCCGAAAGTTATTGATGTCCCCCGTCAGCGCTGGGTTTTAATTCATTCGCTTTAGTTTTTAGGGCCCTTAAATTCGTGCTGGGCAAACATTCTAGTAGTTGTCTGTTATTGCCAAGATTCGATTGTGAGTTATCCCAGAGTTCGGGCTACCGTATATGTCAATTTTCGGTGGGCTTTGTTGTCCGAAAAAGCGGCCACCTGACACTTGCAACGGGACGCAAAGTTGGCGCTGGATCGCTGAAGACTGCGTGCAGTTGGACCGTAGTGTATCGACTGTTTCGTCTCACTGTTTGTGTAATTTTAGCAAACGACGTAAGAATTTGGAGGCGGAAGCCAGGAAGATGAGGGTTTGTTGGTGTCAGATGTTTAGCGAACATTTCCACGTAAACATGGCATGGGATGCCGTCCTTGTTGTATGGGGCTAGAAACGTATTCGGATCTCGGAAGCATTGGCTAAAAGTAAGTAAAGCAAATCGTCCATTGTTAGTACCCACAAGGCCGATCTTCGGACCCGCTCTTGTTACGCTCTGCTTGGCCCCGTCCACGACCCCGTGAGTTTGGATTTTTAACTGCTTTTTTTAATTTTGGACCACCAGCCCATTCTTTAACTTGCCGAATTGATAGGCCTACGTGCCTCCCCCCACTGTTCCTTCCTCGAGAAATCAGAAAGCGGCCACCCCCCGTTTCCAGAACACATTATCAAAGAAACCTGTGAGTTTGCCAAATACTCAGTTTCCCAGAGACAATTAACACGGAGACCTATCATTTTACTGAATACTCAGTTTCTCTTAAGACATAATTTGACACTTTCTCAATCAGACTTGCTAAGGATTCAACAGCAGCTCCTCAGCAGGTGAAGAATTATTCATTCATAGCATCAGATTTTTCATCCTGCTCGTCGGCGATCGCTGTTGCCCCGGCAACCGTCTATTTTCGTTTGAGTGAGAGGCTCCTCTTCTTAAGGTGAGCCGAAGATGAGGACTTTGTTTTCTTGGTCATTTTAATGGCCTTCTTGACAACCTTCTTCATTGAGGGGCGAACCCTGCTGGGTCCCGGTTTCACAGAGGCTGCATTGTTGCTTCCCTTGATCAAACGCATCTTCGAGGCCGCACACACTTTAGTTTTCAGGGCCTTGGCAACAGCTCGGCTGCCTTTGATTGACAACTTCCCCGTCTTGACAGCCTTTCGACGCAGAGCCAATGCTTTCTTGGAGGCTGCAGAAGGCTTGGCAGAGTGAGCAAGTTTGCGGCTCATTAACTTTTGGGTGGCCCTCCTTTTCATGCTGGCATGTCGCTCTCGAATCTTTTTCCTCATAGCTTTGATAACGGCCGGCACTGCCTTCTTAATCTCTTTTTTCTGTGCATCTAGAGCGGGACCGGCACCGGACATTTCGGCGTTGCTGTTCTCTCGAAATTGTTGGTCAGCCATTTCGTTGCGTAGTCTGGATGTTCGAGAGCCGGACTGATGGTGCTGTGCGGTGAACTAACGATTTTTGGATGCCTCGGTTTACACAAACGTCCGTTTGAAAATCCGATCAATAACTCTCCTACATGTCTGATGCGTTGACCTATGAAACGAGGGCTTCTTGTCGTGACACACCAAAGAGGTGTCACATTAGGTCCCACAGTTCATCATGCCCAGCAGTTCATTTTAGAAGTAGAATAGTCTTATTAGAAAATTTTCGGCGCACATTTCTAGCCACTTTGGACCATTAATCGCGTATGAGGTTCATGCCTCACCCAATTAAATGATCTGGCAGTTTAGAAAGTGAGGGCCACTTCAAAATCGCTATAACTAATAAAGTAGGTTGCACGGTTACCGAATTTTAAGTCTAAGTCGAGAGGAAATTTAATTTTGTTTCACCTCCAAGTAGTCGCTGTTTTGCCTAATGACGAAATGTTATAAATTTTCAACCTCAAACCCTACGGAAAACGAATATCAAACATTAGTTTGCTTCAACTATTTTTTGAAAATAACTGGTGAATATAATTAGTGGGCAGTGTTGACGTAGAATATGCAGATATGAAACCAAAAATTCTGTACGGCGAACGTATTTTTCGCCCTATCGCAGTCGGTCCGTGCTACAAACGACACGATATTCAGTAATCAGAACGGCCTCTTTCGGCTGTAGGTAACATTTAAATAAACTAGTTTGTCGTCTGTGATATAAATTTCAAAGGTCAAACTTTACGACAAAAAGTTTTCCTCTACACTCTGACTGCCTGCGGAACATACTTTCCAGGTTATTTTTCTTACGTTTGCCCTCACTGGTTCACTTTGTTCCTTTTTACTCAGCTGTTCTCTTACTGTTGAATTTTAGGCATCAGTTTGTTATAGGCGGAGCTGTAGAACCCAGTTTGCAGCTAATCAACCGTATCTTTTAGGGGAGTAGAGAATCGGTTACTTTAGCGCAAAGGTAGCCACAGACTAATCCTCTTGGGGCACCCCATCTTACAGACACTTTCAAATAGAACAATCTGCAGCATTCTTGTACGATCGCTCTTCATGACCAGTTCTGAAATAACGTGCAACCCATAAGTAGAAGCAGGAATTGGTTTTTGCAAAAAGACAAAGAGGTAAAAGGACACTTACGAGATGATGACGAGCCACGTTAACTGGGTAAAACATGGTAAGTAACTAGGCATCACTTGTGTGCATACTGCAGTTGATATCGCCTGTGATGCATTTGGGGCTTTAAACGTTCCAAAACAGTGCTCCAGAGTCTAATCGGTTTCGGTGATCTGGACGCAGAAATTCAGCGCTGGAATATGATTTCGGATTTATAAGAAATGGCTAAAGAAGTAGTTGGCATACTAATGTCAAAATCCCGTTCCCTGTTAAGATTATGCTTCATCATCTAATATTTTCGATTTTGAAGTGTAACGCAGCTTCAATACATGAAATAAGGTAATACTACAGGGTTTTGTGATTGTCTTGACGGTGTTTTGACTGATTGCTTGATAGGTAATAAAGAGGCACCAGGGCTGAAGCCTCTATCAATATAAACACACTCTAGGTAGGCGCAGACTGAAATGGGGTAATTAATAATCAAAGAAACATAGGGTAAACAATAAGTGCAGGTGACTGAGGTCCAGAGAGAACCCCTGTTCTCGGATGGAGATTATCCGCACGTGATGGCCCGCTCCTGTTTGAATGCTCTTGTCCGATTTCTTTCGATTAGACGTTTTTAAACTTTGGGGAAGGGGGGATTAGAAGAGAACAGTTGGGACTTGCCGGTCTATAAACAATTCATTCGCATTTAGAAAGTAGTCGCCGTCAAATGTTGAATGTGGTGTTTTTAAATGTCCGCCGAGCTAGTTACTGAGACTTCAGTAGTAATGGCTATCCAA